TCCAGTTAATATCATTGCTTGAGGTAATGAGGTAAGGGTACAATGGGCATATTTGTAGTACATATATTTATAAGACCTTTCACGTAAGGAAGGATATAGAAACAATTCAGCTAGTTGAAACAACTGACATTTTCCTTACCACAGAGGGTCATTACCTTACTCTTTATAGCATAAAAAAAACCCTGTGCATGGTGCATTAATTGTGATTTGCAAATTTATGTAAAGTAAGTTAAAAAATTAGTACTGTATATTTCATTCCCATAAATTATCTGTCAGTGGAAAAAGTTTTGATAGTTTTTGACTGTATTTTTGTTTAGTTTTGTGTGTTTGCTTTTTTTACCTTGAACCTTGCTTGTAGCCTTTTAAAAATATTCCAGGGTGACAGTTAAGCTGAACCCAGGGGTTAGTAAGGAGTTGTCTGGCGTCTCCAGGGTAGAGAGGCGCTCTCTGGTGTTTGTGGGTTTGGTGGGGTGCACTCTGGTGTTCGGGTGAGTCATGGAGGCCTGCTGCTGGGTGCTGTGCTGGTCCTTGGCCTTTCTTCTCAGGCACTGGTCCTGTCTCTGCTTCTGGCTGTCAGGAGCTGTGTAGCTTTCCTCAACCACATCTTTCACCATGCAGTTCTGCCTTAGATTGAAACCTCTAAAATTCATAAAAATAAACCCTCCTCCTCTAAATTTTGTACATTTGGTCCCAGCTAACTAGTCAGTCAGATTATAGAAACTTCCTTGCTTATAGCATTTTAATGGTTTTTTAATAGCAATTATAACTAACTACCTTTTTATGGCCCTACATGATCTTGACCTTTTTGTGGCCCTACATGATCTTGACCTCTACATGATCTTGACCTCTACTTTTCTAACCTCCCATTCACTTTTCAGGCATAGGGCCCAGCATGACCATAGGACCCTGAGATGAGGAGGAGGTTGGCCTGTCTAAGAGACAACAGGAAGCCCCTTGTAGCATTTCTTTCTAGCATTAATAATGACTTTCCTCGACCTCCTTTTCTATTCTTGTCCTCCTTAATTTTCTCATACTAATATTTTTCTAAGAAAGGTAAAATTGTACTTGATTTCAGACAATGGTTTACAACAGTTATTTTGCTTGTACTACAGACAAGAAAAACAGTATAATTATGGATATAAAAGTCTGAAGAATTTCTTTATAAACAGGCCTGTAGTTAGGATTGGATGTGCCAGCATCATAAATTGATTTATTTAGTTTATAATTTTGTTGAATTTTTATGTGTAAGTTGCTGCTATAGATACTTTGCCTGTGCATGTCAATGACTTAGGCAAAGATTCCTGTTCTCTAAGGCTTACCTTCTGCCTGGAGCATTGTGTTTATCTTTTGCTTCTGGTTGCAGCATTGTAACATTACACTTCTTTATTGCTAAACTGTAATTTAATGGATTAATAGATACATTTTTTTTTTTACTTTCAAAGCAGTTGAATTACTCTTCCTACAGTTAGCTTCATAGTATTTCTTTTAGTGTCCTATAGTAATCCCATGTGCTGATATAATAGCAGTTCTGTTTGGTTTTTGGTTTTTGTTTTTTATGAGACAAGAGTGTCACTATGCAATTCAAACTGGCCTCGAACTCACTATATAATAGCCCAGGCTGGCCTCAAACAATGGGCAGTCTTCCTGCCTCAGCCTCCCACGTGCTGGGATTATAGATATACACCACTATGCCTGGCAATATCCATGCTCTGGAGCCCATCTAGTTGTGAAGGGCACATGTGTCTTGCAAATCTGGAAAAGTGGATTAATTTGGTGAGACTGAAGTCAGTTCTGTATAGTTGGGGTGTTTCAAGGTAGAAGAAAAATGAGTGGATTTGTTGAGATAGTGGGCTATAGTCTGGGTAGCAGTTGTGCACTTTGACTGTGCTTCTGTGAGTGTCTTTTAGTTGTGCTGTCATGGCTGTGTTGCTGTCTTGAATTGATTCAAAACATTTATCTTTCCTGGGCATTTTGGCTTTGGGGAAGAGTCAGAAGAACTATTGTGTCAGATGCAGTAAATGAGGCAGATGGGGACATACCATAATGATTTTACAAGCCTGACCTTCCATTGGGTGGCATTTAGAAGCCAGGTTCCTCTTGTTTTGATCATGCCTCATAAACTTACTTATGAAGAGGACTTCCAGAACTGCTTCAGAAAGTGGCAAGAGCAGTGGGGTAAACGTGTATTTTGATAAGGTTTACTGGCAGTGTCTTTTACTGGAATATTTTTTAAAATTTATGAATAAGCATGTATTGTGATATATTATATTGAAAGATACTTAGGTATAAAATAATAGACCAAGCTATACAAGCAAATCAGGAATACCAATGTGTTTTTGTATATATATATATATGTCTATACTTGTTGACATTCTACAAATGAGGGCAGCTTTTGGAAATTACCTCATTTGCTTGTACCATGGCACTGATGAATCCATTAGTGAGTAGTTGAACTGAAATATGATCATTTAACATCTAGCTACTTTCTATCTTTCTGCCTTACCATTAACCTCTGTTCTTAATTGTAGCTTTTGTGTTCTAGCTGTTCTTATGTATTGTGTATTCGCTGTGTACAGTACTGAACTTTACAGGCAGGTCTGCAACAGCTTTTCTTTCTCTGATATGCAGTTGCATATACCTCTGGTGTGTGATTATCAAGAGAATGTTTGTCTTGAACATGAGAATGAACTCAATAGATTTTTAGAAAACCTTTCCGTACCCATCTTGTGTCCCATTTGTAGATGTAAGTCTGAAATGGAATTTTGAACTATATACAGCCAATTACTTTTAAATAGTTTTTCTTTGTGCACATATCTTGCCTTTGTTCTTAAAACATTATCCATCTTGATAACTAGAAGAAAATGAGTATATCCCTAAGGAAAAAATATGCTTCAGATGGTTTCTTAATTAAGAAAATAAGGTATTTTATTTTATTGATTTACTTGTCCTTTTAAGAATAGACTAAAAATTATAAATTGGTATTAAAATTTGAGATTATTTGGAGCTATGGCAAACAGTACTGTCATACTCAAATTTTAGAAAGAATAGCAGTTTTCTCTTCACAAAATGCTATGATTACCTTATTAGAAGTGTCTTTGTCATCCTTTAATTTTATAAATCTACCAAATATTATACTTTACCAAAATTAAATTATAGAGTTACATTATCCAGTCACAGTTTAGAAAGATTAACTCTTGGTGCCTTGTATAAATTAATCATTTTGGAATCTTTAGAAGAAACCTGCCTTAAAGGCTAGGACAAATTAAAGGCTAGGACAAATAGATAAGTGAAATAAATCATACTTGCCTGTGTAAACATCATATTATCTCCCTAGCATAAGAAGCTGAAAGAGTAAGTAAGATCCAAAATATACAGTAAATATTGGAAAATGGAAAGAAACTGTTCAAAAAGAAAGAAACTGGGATGGGGGAAAGAAAAGGGAAAGGAAATACATATATATATACACACACACACACACACATGATAGTTAAGATAGTTATACTACTAGTTTCTGTTAGTTCACTGAAAAGACAGGTTTATACTTACATTGTTTGATCAGTATTTCATGCCTGTGTCTTATAATCGGAGCAACTACTTTGAAGATACCAATGTAATGTACTAACCATTGTTACTCTCCTGCTATCTTGTTTTGAAATATTTTATCATTTTTATTGTTTTTCCTGTTTAAAAAAAATTGAGAACTAAGACAGTCCCTTATATTTTGATTAAATGTCAAAGCTTTATTTTTCTTTACAAATTTAGCAGTACTTCTGCATTTTTTTAGTTGTGACTGTAGCATTATCAGTGTTTAATTGCAGAAGAGAGCTGATTATCTAAAAATCTGAAACTTTTCCTTTGGTTTAAAAATGTTTGCCTTTCTTTAACTGTATGTCTATTTAGTATCTTTATGCATGTTATTTCCAAATGAATAAGTCTTATTTTCAAAACAGATTGAGAGATTGGCTTATTTTTCTTGGGGAATGTGCAAATGGTCTGTTTTCTATAAAACATGTCTCTTTCAACTTACTGTTCTGATTATGAGTAGTTTATTATCCACATAGACATTTAAAAATAGAATATTTGCTAAAGAGTTCATATATATGTATTTAGTTGAGTGCATATTTTAGGATGATTTAGGATTCATAAGTGCCACATGAGACCATGGTATTATAACATAAATAAAGCTTAAAAGAGGAAAAGAAAGATGATTATAATATTCTAAGATCTTCAATAAGGAAGTGTGTTGGACATCTTCATATGCTGATTTGACTCTCTTTAGAACAGAGATACCTTCCTTATATTTAACTTACTTCCAGCATTTACACTGTCTAATTTAGTTGTCTGTTCTTGAGATTCTGATTTACACCTTCTCACATTAACATGAACTTCTGGTTGGGGGACAGTTACTTTATGTTTGAAGTTGCTCAGAGTTTCCATCTGCTTTTACTTGACTTGTGGTCTTGAAGATCATGCTTGGCCCATGGGATATTACAGTGTGCCGAGAGGATGTGGAGTTTTGTCAGCCAGTGAAGTATGTCTGGCTTTTTCTTCTTTCTTTCCTTTTTTTTTTCAGCAGCTTTCATTTGCTTCTCGTCCTGTGTGGTCTTTACTGAACTGAATTTATATTTAACAGAACTACTCTCTTCATCATATTCTATGACTTGGTCTTTTTAAAAGAGAAGGTGTGTGAAAGGAGTATCTGAGCCAAAAAATTTGGATTATTTGGCAGTAGGGAACAATAAAACTGAAAGCTTAAAGTAGTGATATAAGTTTTATACATATATATGTGTGTGTGTGTGTGTGTGTGTGTATATATATATATATATATATATATATATATATATATATATATATATGGCTTCACTGTTTACAAATGTATATTCAGTACTGCAGAAGGTGTTATATTCCAGATATGTACAACTGTTAAAAAAAAGTCTCATGCCAACTCTAGACTCCCAAGTTTTGTCTCTGGTTTAAATGATTTTCTTGTTTGTTTTTAGGCCTTACTGCAGTCTTCAGTTAAGCAACAAGTAGAAGCTATTGAAAAACAGTACATCTCTGCAATTGAGAAACAAGCACACAAGTGTGAGGAGCTGCTAAATGCTCAGGTAATAAAAGTGTACATCCATTATGTGTTTATACTTTTCTTCTGACTCTTCTCCCCTGAGAGCTGTATAACTGTTTATTTGGTTTCATGCCATTTACTTTCCTTCGTGTATTTTGGAGAAAAAAAGGTATGCTTATTTAATTTCAGGGCTTGAGAATTTTATGATAGATCCAAAATAGTAATAAAGTTCTAAAATAGTGGGTTTTTTACAAGTTAATGATTATTCTTCTGTTAATTTCTGAGTTTTAATAACATTCACCTAAATAACTTTCAGTGACCTTAGGTTTAATATTTGATAGCATTTTTCATTAAATTTATTTTAAATGATATGTCAAAATTTTTAAATGATACATATTAATGAATAACATAGTATTTATGCTTGAATTACCTTTTGTTTTGTATAGACATTAGCTTCTATTTAAGTTTTTCCTTTTTTTTTTAGTTTTATGTCTTAAATGGCTTAAATGATTACTTCACTTGCAAAGGATTTATGGATGTGTCATAGTAAGTTCTTTGTAACACTTTTCAATGATAGAAAACTTGAATGGTGAAAGCAATCAACTTTACTTAAATGGTATATTACAAAGAATAGTGAGAAAATTAACTACAATTTAGTAAATAAAATCAAGTGTAGAATTTAAATGGAGATTTATAACTATACTCTCTCATCCTCAAGATAATCAGTTCTACTAAATATTTTTCAGTGCTCTTTTACCAAATTCCTTGGAAGAAGAAATTTTATAAATGTGATGTAACAATTATACTCTTTTGGGTGATAAATAACCAGGTTGTAAAGGTTTGAAGTGTATGACTTTATAAATGAGCAACATAAATCACAGAATTAAGGTTATGGAACTCTGAAACAGCATAAGGCATATATTGGTAATAAAAAACCCACCAACAATATGTACCCACCATAGGGTGGGTTATGCCATCTGGCTTCAGTCTGCAGAAGTTTATATTTTACTCATGCTGTGTATACATTGAGGGGTGTCTTTGGCTTCTGTTTCATGTCCTTATCCTGGAAAATACCATGAGAGTGTATTTTCTGTGTGAGCTATATTACCTGTTATCATTAAATATAAAAGTAATCCCTGTTGCATTTCACATCAGCAACTAAATGCTCTGGCTGGGAGCTGACATTTCCAATTCCAATTTTGTCATTGTTCCCACCTAATTGTAATGGGGCCAGATGGTGAGAGCTTCTGGAACCTAAAGGAAGAGAGCCAGAAGTATTTGGTGACCAGCACTAATATAGCACATATGCAGTCTCTGTTTCACAGGCAGATTTACATATCCTGCCGTTGTAGGAGAAGATCTGAAACTTCTACCTTGCCGTAACTTCAAACTCAGAAGTCCATAACCTCTGTTTTATAGGAGAGGGCTGACTTATGTAGTTTCTACGTTATCAGGTTCAGATATATGGTCCCTTTTAACTGGAGAACTAGAAACTAAAGTACATTTCCTACATCCAAGGTATCTAATAAACAGTGAAACAAAGGTTGGGTACTTGCTGTAAGCACACTCCTAATAGGAAAGGTAAGGAATTAAAGATTCACAGATAATCCTTCATATGTGCAATTATGTGTAATAGAAGTATTAGCCCTGGAGGTAAGGAATGCACCATGACTGATCATGATTCCCTTTTCAGGGTTTTGGGACAAAGTCTCTACTGCATTGTTTCTTGTTGTAGGTTTTTCATTTTTCAGTTGCTTTGTTTGCTACATTTATTGTAGATATTGACAATTAGATTTTCAGCCTGCCGCTTACTATAGAAAATTAAGGATCCAAGGGACACTTTTGGTAGCACTTAAGGGAAATGGTTTTTGTGGCTTTTTATCTATTTTATTCTACTCTGTTTACTTAAGGCATACCTACACTTTTAGAGAACTGCTTCCTAAATTTAATATACTTATGTGCTTTCTACCTCATGCTGTATGCCTGTCTGTACCTCTCTCTCTATTTGATTGAAATTAACTTCATTTTATTAAGCCTGGATGGAAGATATCCCTATGGGTTCTTTTCCCTAAAATATTTCATTTAAGTGCAAGTGTAGAAGTGTATGCCAGATAGTTGGAGCTTTATTGAATTTTTGCCTGGAGACACTTTATTCTGTTGGATTTCTGAGTGTTGAGAGTAACATACCTGACCCAGGACTTGCTGCAAAGCTGAAGGCATTTGTTTTTTGTTGCTAAAAGGCCTCCTCAGAGTTTTCTTCATAAATTATGTGTGGGAAGTGGTTTTCTGTGTCAGTCCCTAAATTTCTGAACTTTTCTATTTCCTACTGTTTGATGCTTGTGAACTCTGTTTTTGCTGGGCATTGATCATTTTCTTATAATGCCTTGTCAAAATTACCAAAAGCAGAATTATTAAATAAATTCAGAGAAGTTTCAGGGTAAAAGATTAACACACAAAATTCAATTGTGTTTCTACACACAAGCTTTGAAGAACTGAAAGGAAGTTAGGAAAGTAATTTCATGTACAGTCTCTTATAAAAGAATATAAATTTAACCCAGGTGATGAAAATGTTGTACATTGAAAACTAGAAAGCATTGTTGAAAAAATTAAAAATTACCTAAGTAAATGGAAAGATATCCCCTGCTGATTAATTGGAAATATGTGCAGAACACTCAAGATTTACCTAAGACAGCTATAGGATTATGAGGTCTGAGAAGTGCACTCTGATGAAGATAGGAGTTATAATGAGTAGCTTAAGTCATGTCTGTGCTAGAAATGGGGATCCACACTTGCTTTTCCAGTCATAGTTCTTGAGATAGCATTTGAAATTTGACGTAAGTCGATATTATTTAATACCACCAACAAAAAGAAATGTAGTAATATGATGTCTAGGAATCATTTGATTCCACCTTTTGTCTGTCTCTCTAAATTAAGAATTTAATGAGAAGGTTGTGCTTTGGAGTCAGTGAATTAACCCCTCTTTGTTACTTAACAGTGTTAACTGTAGGAAGTCCTTCAGTATATCTGTACCTAATTTACCTCATCTGTAAAGTGAATGTAAAAGTAATCCCTCTCAAAAGATTGTTATGTATATTTTATGACATCAGCTTGGCACAGTGTTTATAAAGAGCTTAGGACAGTCTGGCTGCTCAGTTGATACTGAATACATTTACTATCTCTTGGACAAGCTTTTTTGTGTAAATGGTATCAGGGAAACTTGGGTTTTATACTTTGGAATCTACTGAAGAAAGGCTATTTTTCTGATAGCTCAGTTTTTGCCTTATGACTGATTCCAAGAAACCTTTACATTTTCAAACATTTATTGAGTGATCACTACTGTTTGAACACTAGACCATGTTTTATCTTTCTGCACTGTTTTAGCTTACAACACTTTTGGCACCAAAATGGGTGGGGATTTTCTACACCATGGCCAGTTCTCCAAGTATGCCAAGCTGGTGTCCTACAGTTTAATTTACCTTTCACATTGACTACCTATAGTTAGTATAATTCCATAAGTAAGTAGCAAGTTTCAAAAGATTGCCTGTAGGGTACTCATACCTCTGTTTGACCTGGCAACAAAATTAAGGGTTCCTATAAATGCCCTCACTTCAGGTTTGATAATTCTCAAAAATGACTTATAGGACTCAGGGAAATATATTTCATGCTTTATTATGAAGGATAAAACTCATAAACAACCTGAGAAAATAAATATATGGGAGACAGCCTGGTAAGAAAAGGATATGTATTGAACACCTCAGATACTTTGAGACCCTTTTCATTAGGGGTTTTATCCTCCCACTACATTACATATGCATGATGGATTAAAGTGTTAGATCGTGGTGGTGAGCTCAATCCCTACCCCTCTCGGTTTGTGGATATAGATGGGAAGACTGAAAGTTCAGTCCTCTATTCTAGCCTGTCTTTCTGATGGGCCACTCCGTTTTGATCCTGACGCTGCCTTCATTGTGTCACATAGCTACCAATCACCTTTTTCCTTTTTTGGCAGTAGTGGGGTTTGAACCCAGGGCCTTCCGCATGTTAGTCTGCTACTAAGCTACATCCCCAGCCATGTTTCATCTGTATTATACTTTTATGTAAAATAAGTTATGTAGTTTATATCCCTTTGTGTCTGCCTGCTTTGGCTCAGGATCATGTTTTTTGAGATTAATCTATGTGGTTGTATGTATTATTAATTATACCTTTCAGTTGCTGAATAGTTTTCTATTGTACGACTGAACAGCATGTAGTTTGTCTCTTCACTTACTGTTAAATATTTGGATTGCTCAAAATCTGGGGCTTCTGTGAATATTTGCATAAAATATATATGGCAGTAGATTTTTTTACATTCATAAGTACTTATGTATGGAACTGAGAGATCATATACTAAAAGTATATTTAACTGTATAACCATGTTATAAATTGTTTTGTAGAACTGTTATGAATTGTTATTCCAGTTTCCATTCTTGTTTGTAACGTATGAATGTTATGTTTGATTTGTCCTCCCAGGACTTGGTATTATCAGTCTTTTTTATTGTTGGGGTGTGTGTGTGTGTGTGTATGTGTAGTTTGAGGGTTGGCATCTTTTCACATGCTTATTTGCCATTTATACATTTTACTTTCATGAAATACATATTCAGAATTTTGCTTATTTTATTATATAGTCCAACTTTATTTTTAATGTATGTATTATGAGTATTTTTCATAGTGCCTGTCCTTTTCCTTTCTTAATGGTATATTTAAATAAAATCTTTTAATTTTGATAATTTCAAATTTAGGATTTTTTGTGTATAATGCTTTTAATGCTATACATAAGAAATCTTTGCTTAATTATAGCTCTCAAAGAGGTCTTCTTATATATTCTTCAAGGTTTTTTATATATTTCGTAGGTTAAGTATGCGGTAGTTAATTTGGAGGTGTATGATGTAATGACGTAGTCAAAATTCTTCCCTCACCATCTATGTATATACATTTATTCCAACACTGCTTGTAGGAAAAAGTAGACTTTTCTTTATTGTGTCACAGTAATACCTTTGGAGAAAGTCA